ATATAAGTGATAAATTGATTGGACTGGCCACGTCAATGATTACCACGTGCCACAGGTCAAGCGGTATTTGGATGTAGTGATTCATCTCCTCCCATATCATCACCAAACTTTAGTTCCAATTTTTTAATCTCCTTTTGTACACGCTCCTCCGAAGGCAAGCTAAACTTTGTTTTATTTTTCCTGAGTTGGGTCCAAGTACATTCGCCATTGAAGATATCATAGTCATTGTACAATGCCAAGACAAAGTAACTATAAAACAATAGACTTCAGTAAAGATTGATCATAGAATTTTAATCTTGATATCAATTAAAAGAATGTGCGTACGCATATCGATATTGTGTTGACTGACCACGTAAACACTCCAATTTCTGATCCACGACGTTCCAGAAGGTCCGATTATGGTAAATTTTACCATGTGTTCCCCAATGAGACGCTTGCATTCTCTAGTCAAAGGAAAGCTTGTCAATTTCATATCCACATGATTCAATTGTGATTCCTTACCAGCCAAGCATATCGGGTTTTTCGAAGGTGCTCCACGGTTTTTATGATTTCCTCACAAACTTGCACTCGGCCACCAATTTGACTTTTTTCCTTCTCATGAAGCTGTTGCAGTCGGTGTTTGTAAGTAAAATCACACATTTGTGTTATTGAATGATTCAATTACAAGACAAAAAAAAACTTACTTTGACGATGATAGTATCAATATCTGGAATGTTGCCAGTGCAGGGTTTGGCTTTCTTTCTTCGTGGGAGGTGAATCTTGGTGAGAAGCTAGATGGGTCATCAGAGACTTGAACTTGATCTCACTTGAGATGGAACACACTTACAATGGTTTCGAACTCTTTTCGGGTCTGCTTGCAAATGTTGGTCAAAGTCTTCTGCAATGCTTTTGTCGCTTTGGGATTGGGCTTGGCTCCATATCCAGATGGAAGAAGACGATTTTTCCATTCGGTAGGATTGGATAGGATGGCGCTCTATCCAATTTGTCAGCAAACAGCATCACAAATTTGAAAAATGGTGATCAGTAGGACTTACCATCAACTTTGCATGTAAGCTTAATGGGAGGGTGTCTCCATTAGCTTCTTTGTTGTGAGTTGCAGTATAAGCTTGGACATCACCATCCATGATGCACTGTACAGACAACGATTTGATGCATTGCTTCTCATAAGAAACAAGCATCATGATGATTCAGCAGCCGTAACGATATAATAAAGACTAATGTATTGATTGATACTTACTTTCAACTCTGATTTTTCGTCCCAGCCGCCTACAGTAGAGGCCAGGGTAGTTGAAATACGCTCATTGATCTCCTCAAGCTTATTGAATATCTTCTTGTGATTTGACATCATATCTTGACGTAGGGATAGTACAGTGGCCGCCATCGCATGGAACTGGTTGTCACCCTGTGTGAACTACAGAAGAGATTGAATTTGTTAGTCTGGGTACAAGAACACTCAATGATACTTACGTTACATAGCTTGCGACCAATAATTTTGTTCTCTTCATTCAAGTTCGCCACTTCAAAGACTTTATTGAAAGAAATAAGCTTGAATGATGTCATATTGTCGACCAACCTCATGGTTGGCTTCTCAAGCTCAACATTTTCTTCACTAACTTCACGGTTTTCTAACATCAGATCATGAAAAGTATGAGTCAATTTACTTTCAGAAGAAAAAATACATAAATGAATGCTTACTGCCTTTATCAATTGCATTGAACTGATCGAGATCGTTGTACAGTCCCCTCCAAGTGGTTTACGTAATCATTCAAGTTCTGCAGCGGCGGGGCCGGGGCCTGTTGCAAACCCGATGATTACAAATCCTAGGCGTGGGGACGTGTACATATCAGAGTCATTATCTTCATTTCCACCTACATCATCATCATCATCATCATCATCATCATCTTCATCATCTTCATCTTCATTGAAAACCAATTCCTGATTGTCATCATCTTCTTCATTGACAACTACATCATCATCATCATTGTCTTCATCTTCATCTTCATTGATATTTGCATCATCATTGTCATCGGCAACTGCGTCCTCAATGTATTCCAAGCTGCTTTGAATCAATGGGCTGTCATTTTGGGTTTGAGGTTTTTGAGTCGGTTTTTGAGCCGGTTTTTGGATAGGCTTTTGAGTCGGTTTTTGAGTCGGTTTTTGGATAGGTTTTTGAGTCGGTTTTTGAGTCGGTTTTTGAATAGGTTTTTGAATAGGCTTTTGAATAGGCTTTTGAATAGGCGGATTTTCATCAATCTGAGTGAGTGATGCTTGTGCAATTTTCTTCTTTTCCTTTTGATATTGACTATAGTTCTTGCGAGGTTGAGATAGTGGAGGTGATGGTGGTTTTTAATTTGAGCCGTCCCCTTCCGAGTTGAGGGTTTAGAAGTAGAAGATACTTCAGGTGGTGATTTCTGACGATTCCTCAAGGTTCGACCAATGGCCGGTTGAGATACCCGCGGTGATTCATTGGCACTATCACTGACTGCAGTAGGAGGACGAGCGTAAGGTTGGTAGCGCGCAGTTCGAGACATTGTTGTTGGTTGTTTTCTGTTGAATTGATTGAACAAAGTGGAAAGAAGTGGATGAGAGAGATGGTCAAGAGGAGATGAAGACATTGTAAAAACCTTACCTTGAGATCGAATTCATTCAATCGGTGAAAGACGTGTAACACCTTCACATGACATTGTACCGGCCGTTCTGAGGGACATTTCACCAGATCAGTGATCCTTGTGAGACGAAGATTAAAAACTTACAAAAACTAAAAGATCAAGAAATCAAGAGAGGAACAGAGCCAGTAATATTGATGATATGTCATATTCCATGATTGCATTTTGTCGATTTTATGAAGCCACACTGTATACCAACCAATCAAGCATTCAAAATGCTTTATAAATAACTGGATATTGATATTGAAAACTCGTTAACAAAAATATTAAGAAAAGAAATTAGAATGTCATTGATGACGGTCCAGCAACTGGTATAGCTGTGTCATCTTGTGACAGTGACTGCGACTGCTGCACAATTTTGATCTGACCAATCCTCTTTCTCTTAACACCCCTTTGCCCTGTTTGTCCCGCTAAGAACTTTTCCTCCTCTTTTTCTCTTTTTTTTCCCTTTGCATCATCTTTCTTCTTGATTGCTTGCTTCCAATTTTGAATTCCCACTACACAAAATGTCATCTTTACCGGGCGGTAAAGAAAACTACTGACATAGAAAAGTCCTGAGGCAACAGGAAGAGAGCTAAAACTCTGAAAAAATATGCACCTTGTTCCTAGATGTTGGGGCGTCATGACAAGTATTTTTTTGTATTCTACACACAGATATTGGTTAATGTACTAACAATAAAGGCTGAGAATCATCAAAAACCCACCTGTAACAATACCTGAAATTTGGCCCTTGACTTTGAAGACAGGATTTTGGAATCTTCAAACATCAATAACTTCTGCAGTTCTGAATCAAATCACACGATTTGAAGTGCATTAAAAAGGTGAGCCTTTCCTCTACATTTTTCATTGAGACATCACATCTGTAGCTGGTCTAAAAAGGATCCTACAGAGCTATTCATGCAGAACTGTTTGAACATATGTAGAGTGTTTAAATGACTAGATAGCACCTTACTAACATTATGAAGGTGAAGGAGAATAGTTCAGCTTTTTAATGAACCAAAAATCGAGTTATTTGGAGCAGAATTGCAAAAGTTACTGAAGTTTTTAGACCACAAAATATTGTCTTCATACTCATGACCCAAATTTCAGGTATTGTTACATGTGAGTTTTTGATGATTTTCAGTGTTTATTGTTAGTACATAAACCAATATCTGCGTGTAAAATACAAAAAAATACTCATCATGACGCCCCAACATCTAGGAACAAGGTGCATATTTTTTCAGATTTTTAGCTCTCTTCCTGTTGCCTCAGGACTTTTCTATGTCAGTAGTTTTCTTTACCGCCCGGTAAAGATTACATTTGGTGTAGTGTCCTCCTTGGACAGCTGAAATAAAATCTCGCGGTGTTACCTCCTCAAAGAAGATCTGTGCCCATGCCCGATGCAGTTTGGCATTATAAAATGCAGCCGAATTCAAGATAAAATCACTCGTTGGGACATGAACAACATGATAATCCAGATTTTTTGATGAACGACGTTCGACCATGACTTCACGAGTTCTTTGAACACTGCACTTACTTGCATGGCAGTTGTGTTGGATATTTAAAACTGCTTCAATGTCCTAAAGCATTTGATGATTATTTTCAGACGATCAAACATTTCAAAAGATTTTATAAGTGGATAGGTGCTTGCTGAAATATTGATCCAAGCCTTCCGATTGGTTTTTTTAATCTCTCGCATGCTATAGAATTGGTCAATATGACCAAGATTGCAATGATCAAGAGCCTCAAACTTTGTCTGTCGTAAAGTACATCCTCCAACGGCCCAAATCCTTTTAACACAAGCAATTCTTCGCTGACTTTCAGTGTGAGCATTTTTGACTGACACAAATACCTCAGCAGTAACCTTGTGTTTATTGCTCAATGTAATGTCTTCGAGAACCTTCCAGTCATTGGCCTCAAAAGAGTTGAAGATCATGGTTGGAATCATTTGTTCTGGACCGTCCGGTTGTATTTTTTGAATTTCTAGATTGAGTAGAAGTTAAATCAAATGTGACATAATAATTGGTTAATCAATGCACTCACTTCCTATTTTGATTGGAATTTCTTTATTCCACAAAGAATTATACCCCAAAGCTTTTTGAAACAATTTATTATTCCGAAATATATCTTGAATATTTTTGCTTGCTTGTATGTAAGTTCTTGCCTTATAGTCGTATGTCTTTGATGCTGTGACTGCTCGGATAAGTCGGTGGTTATTGAAGGAGTTAGCGATATCTTTACTTGGGCTTAAATGATTTGACATAATCGAAGATTTTCTGGTGTTTCAATTGTAACCCTCAAAGTTCTCAGTACCAAATAGCACAGCTGGTCCAAAAGTACGAATAGATTTGCATAGATGAATTAACATATGGAACTTGGGCTTATTGCACCACTGCGCTGAGAGTTGAGCAATAGATTTGAGAAATATCTGAATTAGTCAATCAAGTTCTGATGCATATGTTTCTATGTCGTTGATCTTGGTCTGGAAGATGTATGGTGCAAGGTTGGAGATGGCAGTCCATGCTGCACGTTCGTGATCGGATAAGTTGCAGCATTCAAAAAAAATAAAAGGTGAGCATTGTAACACCATTCAAAACTCTTTGCCAGTCAGACTGAGGAAATGTTGGATCATCGTCTTGGGTTGAATTGGAGGAATCTGCAATCCTGATCTATCAAAAGACCTCCAACGTCCGCAAATCTTGTTTTTTTCGGAGGCAGATGCAGCCTGCATTTGATGGCGCAAGAGGTACTTGACAACCCCTAATAATATCACATGCAACACCTCGACCGGAGTGTCGCAATGACCATCAAATCCTGCATAGATTGAGTCAACATCAATACATGCAAAAGAGTGCAGGGATCAGTGTGCACTCACCTTTCAAACGCAAGAACGGATTAAATAACCGTTCTCCGAATTTCTCATTCAAATCGTTATAGAGTTCCACCACTAGTTCATTGGAAATGTTTGGATCTCGATGCATTTCTTGAAGCATTTTGACAAAGTTGATGTTGTGTGTATCTCGCAAACCCCACAAAGATGATTGATCATCAAAGCGTCCAAAAGATCCTGGTAGTTTGGCGAGCTCCCAAATATCCTTGCTACCCTTGATGATCTCTGTCCATTTACGCTTTGGTAGAGATGACTAGAGATAGATAGAAAAGAACATTGATCAGTAAAAAAATTCACTGTATGTTTAATACAAATATCAGCTTATGACTTGTAAAAATTTACCTTATTTCCTTGTTCGTCAATTCCCAGGAAATCACAAACATATTTTTTTGAGCATTTTTCAACCATGCTTTCGGCCCGTAGATTGCAAATACGACAGGGTGTTGATGAAGATGTCGGATTCATTGTATTCGTGACCGCGGCATGCATTGGGGAGTCCCCCAAATGACATATAACACTGGTCATGACAAACACTTCGGTATCAATCTTGTTATCGTAGGCCACAAAGCCTTCTGTACTTAGCAAACTAGTATCACTTGTCAGACAAATTTCATTAGACAAGCTCAATGTAAACTTACTTGAGTTCGTCAATCAAAGGATCCGCCAGCTCCAATGCACCGGCGGTGTTTGAGGTTGTCAGGAAGTGGCAATTATATTCCTGATTTGCCAGTTTTGGAGGTAATCCAGCCAGAGTACAGTAAAATGCCATTATATGTTTGTTCCATCGCTTTGAGATATTCCCTGAAAGGTCGTCGCAGTATAAAACCAAGGGGATATGTCGGATTATTTTACCATTGGCCTTTTGGCGCCAGGGATTGTACAGCACTACTTCGGAGAAGTGACCACAAGTTGAAGATTCTACAAATCTCACCAAGGTTGAAAATCAACGAGATATACATTATCAGAGATTATAATAATAGACACTTACGATACATAACTTCCTTGCAGTGATCTTTCATTAAAACACCTTCACGTAATTCTATTTCATCAAAGACTCTCCAGAAATCATCAACATTGATTGTTGATAGCCGGTCAGAGTTAAAAGTTGAGGCATGTGAGAATTCGATCTGAATCTTTTTTGATCCTTTTTTCCCTTTTCTTTGAAAATTTGCATAGACACACTTTGCAAAAATATGAGATCCAGAGCGGTAGAAATAGAAAGGAACAACTATCTGTTTGTCTCGCAGTTGGACCGGTTCAAATAGATAGAAATGTCCGTTTGGTTGATCAATCATTTGAACTCTCATGTCTGGATCAAGTAGTTCTTGCCACTTCTTGGATTGAGACAGCCGGTCGATTTTTGAGGATGCAGTTGGAAGTTCTGGAATAAACTCAAGATAATCTCTAACAAAGGGATTCGCAAGTTACTGAACCATGATACAGTCAATTTATTAAGATTAGGTATCTGATTCTAGACAAAATTCACCTGTTTTAAGATATCCTTGACTCTAAGGCCAAAACACACTTTTTCCAGAGGGCTCAAGCTTTCATAGACCCTGAATTCGTACTTTTTTTGAAGCCGTTTGCAAAGTTGCTGCAGGGTCTTATATGCAGGCAGCTTGACGTTAAAGGACAACTGCGACATTGTGGTACGTGTGGTACCTAGAATCAGAAGCCCAACAAATTGCTGTGCACCCAAGGGAATCAATAAGTAAGAAGAAGATGAGAAAATACTCTGGGAAGCTGAGAAATGACGTGCCTCTAAACTAGAAAAAGGTGCCCAAGAGGAGTCATCATCTTCCTCTGAGGCCTCTGAATGAGGTTCATCCCCTTCTGATTCATTGTCTTCATTGTCAGAATCTGAATCAATTAATCCTTCACCAATAGGTTCGTCCTCGTAACTATTGACGTGCTGAACCGGTGGTCGAAATAGATAGGAATGATCTTGAGCCCACAGGTCAATGAGTGCTGCGTTGATATGGAGTTCAGGCTCTGAGTTATCCTGATCCGACACAATATCCGAAAGATCTGGGATTTCAGGATTGTCTTCATCACAACCTGCCTGGATTTCGATTTCAGGTTGCAAAGGACCTTGATTTGACCTCAAAGGTGGAGTGGCAGCTGCAGCTGCAGCATCATTCTGCTCAGAAATCCATCGAGCAAAGTGTTTTCGATGGTTTGGTGTTTTAAGGTGTTTTGCAACAGAAGCTGACTGCATCAATCGGCTGTTTGGACACGCCAGACAACTGAAGAATGATGCCTCTAGCTCAACAATACCTTGAGAATGAATTATACAGTCAGCTTATGATTTGAAGATGCTCAAAGAACTTTGAAATAATTACATTGAGGCAATGGGTCCATTGTGAATCAGAAAGAGATCGAGTCAAAGGTATGAAGGGCAGAACTATCAAATCAACCACAGAAAGATTCAACAGTAAGCTTATTGTTATCAAATTCATTGAATAGAACATTTTCAGACATTTCTAACAACTGCTTACGTTTGATTCAAACAAAGGTATCTCTTTGAATATACGTTCAAAAGATCCAAGGAAGAAGGGTATTCAATGCCGAAAAGATACACAGTTGCAATTGGTGTGATTGAGTGGCGATTAATCGGCCATGGCAATATCTGAAGCGGGACGGATGCCTGGAGATGCTGATGTGAGTTGATTTGATTTTGTGTTGGTTTGATCAGACTGATGATCGTTCTCACTCCAGTTGAGACCAATCAAAAGTCACAAGGAATTGGTTTCTTGACCAGCCAAGATTCCAGAATCCTTGCTCTATGATCTTGATTGCTTTGATCGAAGGAAAGAACGAAAAGGAGAATCAAAGGTAATTTGTGATGATCGTTTGGCAATGTCCTCCGATGGATCGAAGGGGAATCAAACAGCTTGGTGGTGCGAGAGTGATTTTTTCGATTTTTGATAACTTTTCATTGAGATTTGAAAACGGACTTGAGATTGGCGATGAAGTGCTGGAAATTGGTTGAAACTTGGGATATGAGATGAAACATCAACTGAACGCTGATTAGTGGAGGTGATTCAGCTGGAATTGGTGAAATCGGATGATTTACGGAAATCGAAGTGGTTGACTGGTGGTTTTTTGATTTCCGGCCAAGTACCCGTTGAATTGGTGGTATCTCGGCCGGAAATCAGCCATCAAAAAACCGGTTGTAATTTCAACCCCGTGGTACCGGTTGCTCAACTTAAGTTGGACTCATGGTGTAGTATTCCTTGATATTGCTGTACCCCTTGTACAATCCATGGTGAACGAGTATCAAGTCGAGAAAAATACCAAAAAAAACTCGATACAACAGAAACTCAGCTCTTCCAACAAGTTGCCGTCCAAATGTATCTTATTATAATCCGGGTCAATTTGGTGGAGAGCAGGGACATACACCCATTTTCTCTGCTGAAGTTGATGAGATAATCCAGCGGCAATTTCTGGATCTGGAAATGATGTTGTGTATCTCACCACATTGTTTGGCCAATCACATCCAGGAAGCTGCTCAACGGCTAAACATTGAGACTGAAAGAATAGAATTAATCACCGTGTGGACTTGCCATGCAGCTATAGTCCACGAGCTGCACAATTCATATCCCAAACTTTATGAAGTTGTGGATGTTGATGCGCTGTGGGAAGAGTAAGAGGTATCATCTATGTTTTCATCCATTCCCGGTGTACAAAGATAGCTCTTTGGATTCACAATGTACAGCTGACTTGAGTCAAAATAACATTACTGATATGATAATAAAGTGTTGAAGCTATTTTTGGTTGAAATCCAGTTAAAAAATGAAACTTTCATTTACATCAAGACAAAAGAATTAGAAATCTTGCAAAACTTGTGGTCCTTGTTGCTTCATCTAGTGCAATCCACTTCGGGAGTGAGGAATAAAGCCAATCAGCTTAATTTGATGGTCATTCAGCTGAGGAGTTTCAATTGCATGTTTGTTTAGGTAGAATTCTTCTTTTAGAACTGAGTTAGTCAGAGTGAGATCATATACTTCTGTAAAGCATGAAATAACACGATAAATCAAAAAATTTAAAACAAGAGCTTTTGAAAAGTAATGTTTGCCCTTTTATTTCTGAACCTCGTCAAGTCTCATCAACTCGCCTTTGTGAGATATATATATTGCTTTATGATATTAAAGGCACTGTCATCATCATTGAGACGTTTCTCGACTTATTCTTTTATGTGTTTCATGTTTCAGCCATTGCCAAAATAATGTCACCCGACATTTTGGAAGGTATTCTTGATTGCAAACAACTGCTTTTGAGTAAAGCCCAAGTATTGGTGAGAGCAGTCAAAGATAGATCAACAGTCATGCGTACTCAATTCTTATCTGAACCCGAAGGAAACGGGACAATTGAAAATTATTGGAATCTTTATGATAAGCACACATACATGTCCGAGCAGCAAAAAGTCTGCCGACCTATGACTCTTTTCATTTATGTTCCTTTCCGCTGACACCCTCTTTATTTGTTTTTCCCTAAGCATCGGGTTGTACTTCAATTGGTCGGAACCGATTCAGTGGATTGGGTTCCATTCAATGAGGAGCCTGATCTGGCTCTTCCACCCATGGTCATCATTCAAGCGAGCTTCAATGATCCCAAGGATCCAGATTGTGCTGTAAGGCTAAGAACAAAACCGGGCTACAATGCCATCAACAATTAAGAAAGCGTCAACAGAGGCATTGAGCAGTCTTGTAATTTGAATCAGTCAAATCACATTTTCTCTTCATTCTCTTTCCGCATTAGCTTTTTCCCTTCTGCCTTGCAGCTATAAAACTTATATTTTCTTTCGTTGAACTATACAAAATGGCTGATATTTCCAGTCAGCCCTATTCATCTTCTACAAATTGTTCAACCTCAATCTCATAACCTTCTCGCGGTTTCCAATCCCAAGCAGCAAGTAGTAGCACCGCAACAAGTGTTAATAGCAATGCTGCAGCACAACGCTTGTTTGGCAAACACCAGTGATCACCCATCCTACATCATCCAAAGTACCTGCTGTACCTACAATACCTGATATACCTAACACAAGCAATAGCCATAATGTAAAGTCAAAGTATTGCATCTCCCATCAAAAGTATCAAAAAGATGTGCTTTCACTTGAAAGTCATGAACTGCATTTTGCTTCTGCTTTTCATGAGGGACTATGAATACTCAAACTTCTTCACCAAATCTCCAGCCCCCATCTCATCAGTGCATCAGCCAATTGTTGAAGTTTGTTATATGGCAGTGTGCCAACATTCATGAACGCTTCTTTTGTGTTCTTATACTCATTATCATCTTCATAAGTTTTTCTAAGGGATGCTTGTTGGATGGCGGTGCACCAAGTCAATGAACTCTCTGAATATCAAGTCTGGGTCAACCCAGTGATGTTTTTTGGACAGCAGTGTGCTAAGAAAAACAAACTCTTGGGTTTTTCATCCTACTAGGATAAATTTGGGTAAGCGCGTCAGCAGGTGATGTTTGTTGGAAAGTGGTGCACTCAAAATAACGAACTCTCTTTTTTGAAACCAATGAGTGTATTAATCACTAGAAACCTTTTCATTATTTTTACTCTCTATTATTTCAGTGGATGTCTTGTGGATGTGTGTAAACATTGAAGTGTCTGAATTGTTACTTTGTATCTTTAGCTCAATTGGACAACTGTTAATGAATTACTACCGGGCACCGGGCTGAGTATTTTTGTAAGGTATTACATATAGGATCATGGCTTAGGTGTATGGGTTTAGATAGGTAGTTGGATTACTTGTACTCGAAGATGCCCTAGCTCCATGAAGACTCTTCTTCACCGAATACTCTTCGGATGGAGCTAGGTGAGCTTTCATCTCTTATTTCAATCTCTCTTATTTCTTTCTCTTAGAGCGTGTCTGATGTATGTTTGTGTGTTGACCGAATACTCTTCGGATGGAGCTAGCTAGTTGTCTTATCTAGGAATAAAGTTGGGTTATAGATTACATCTGGAGCTCAGCTCCCGTCGCGCCTCTCTTAGTGAAGACTTGACTCTCTCAAGTCTTACACTTTTTTAATCTATAACAATTCAATCAACCTTTTTTACTATTGTCAACCCAACCAATCAAATTCCTTTTTTTTAATTTTTTATTTCACTTGAATTGATCGACAAGAACTAAACCGACACCCGTGAGAAATCTCACGATACTAGACAGTAATTGACAACTTACGCTTCATGGGATTCGACTTACCAGCAAATTTCATTAGTGACCCGGAGAAAATTATACAACGCCAACGCCAACGCCAATCTGACATTGAAAGTCCTCCTGCACCGCCAGCGCCTCGTTACAACTATCGACTTGAAGCACCTCTTGACACTCCTGAAACCCATTGCACGATCCAAGCTACACCAATCACCAACGTACAAACGCCTAAACTACTAGACCCTAACGACGAGAGTTTGCCAGAGGACGCTCGGATCATGCGAGAACTTTTCAACTCGAGACTTGAGTCAACCCACGACCTCCCGGCAGCTTCATTTTCACACCAAAACCAACAAACAGAATGGATGCTGAGGGCTCAGTCAGTAACAAAGGAAAGGATAAGGAAGATGAGAATCAGAAGGACGAACTCATAGCCAAGCTGCAAGCGGAGATCCAAACCTTACAAGCGGATCAAACACGTATCTTGGTGCTGGAAGCCTCAATGTCACGCCTTCTCTCGAATTACAACGCGACAATGACAGCAGGCAGAGGAAGCGGAGGATCGACCGTGGCAGCAGGGAATCCTAACCCATTTCACCGCTACGCTGATTCTGGAACTCCCACTCCTTCTGGACCTGAAATGCCATGATCAATTTCCAAAGCACCCCACTAGCCCTGACATCTAACAACAACATGGCAGTGCCAACCGAGGCTAGGAACCCGACGCCCTCGCCGGGCGGACAAGTTGACTAGCTTTCGGATGATGTCCCTGATCCTCCACCGTCTACGACTCAGACCAACACGCAACCTTGGCACAATCAACCTGCGGTACCAACGGGATTAGAACCACGTCGAGTCTCATTTATGGAGGCAGTGGCGCCGCTGACAACAGTCTCAACACCAATGGGCCCTTCTCATCGACACCACCACTCAGTCGGAGAAACCAGTACGAGCTTGTGACATAAAGCTTTTGGATGCACCGAAATTCACAGGTCCCGTAGAGGATCCTACGGCTCTTTTCAACTGGCGGCGATTGGTAGAGCAATTCTTCAAGCTGAAGAGACTGGACGACGTCAAGGAACGACTTACGCTTTTAGGCAGCATTGTAGTCGACCCGAGAGCGGGAAATTGGCTCCGGCATATGGAATCAGAGTTGAGTGAGATGACCTGGGGCAAGATCATGCACGCGTTAGCCGTCGAGACCTTACCAACGGGTTGGCTTTACGATACTGAGAAAGCAATCCGACAACTCAAGATCAAGCCTCACGAAGACTTCAAGATGTATGCAAATCGCGCCCGAGACTTGTACAGTCTGATCGAAGTCAATAGCTCAATTTCAATCAAAGGCTTGGCAGAATATGTAGTATGGGGAACACCAGACGTGTTTCAGCGTTGGGTTCAAGATAGGGGGTTATTGAAAGTCGATCGATTCAGATGGCTCGACTTCATTGCAGCAGCATCCGACATTTGGGCGTTACTTCTAGCCAGTAACTTGGTTCCGAAAGTCACTACGAACCAAGGCTCAACGGCAATTCACTCAAATAACACCCGTTCCTACAATCAACCAAGGAACTCGGCCTCGAACAACGACCGACGCACTGTTGAAGAACGAGCGGATTCAGCTTGGCACTACCACCAGTACTTGCAACATCTAGGTATCGGTGCAGCCTGTCGTACGAAGTGCGGCAATCCTCACTGTCAAGGGCCAATCAAGGGACCATACATCGTCTTACCCCCTCTGAGTGTATTTGACCCCGGACCACGCCCCCAATGTCGCACGCCGAACCCGATCAACAACTCTGCGACCACATCAAGAGTGGGAGGACCAGCAGGCGCCCCTACTCAGAAACCTGCGGGTCGGCCAGCTGCTCAGTTACCAGTCAGAGCGATCCAACAAGTTGATTCAACGTCTACTGCACCCGACCTTTTTGACAAAGAAATTGAACGCTACGAAGAAGCAGATAGGATTCTCATCGCCCACATGGAGGAGGAAAGCTCAGAGTGCGTAGAAGAACGCTCTCGCACTAAATCTATCATCCTACGATTAGTAGTTAATGGTACCCCTCTACGTGCGCTCATTGATTCAGCAGCCGAGGCCAATCTGATGTCGGAAGCAACAGCCAAGCGAGCAAAGATACCATGTAGGAAGCTTGTGTCACCCATCGAGGTGAGCCTTGCAATTGCTACCGATGGTAAACCCCATGTCATTAGGGAATTTTGTTTCACTAATGTTAGCTAGGACGATCCAAAGCTACGATTCGGGTCAACTTTCTTCAAAATCGCGCCATTGGGTACCTCATACGATGTAATCTTGGGCACCCCATTCCTTGAAAAATTTCATTTAGACATTTCCCTTCATAATCGTTCCGTCACACATGTACCCACCAAAACTGTTCTACTGGAAGAAAGTGTCAAGGATGAAATTAAAGATGCAATGACAAAATCAATGATCTCTTGTGTTATTCAAAACCTTGAAAGAGTTGAAAAAACTCGAGACCTATCCGCGTGTGAAGAACAAGTCCTGCGAGAATTTGCAGAATTATTCCCTGAGGAATTACCAGGCGTTGCTGACGATGAACAAGATGATTTCATCCCGCCTGAAGGGCAGAATCCTTCATCAAAAGTTAGACATAAGATTGTCTTGACAGATCCAAATGTGGTAATTAATGAGAAGCAATATAACTATCCGCATAAGTATTTGCCTGCGTGGAACAAACTAATTGAACAACATTTGAAAGCAGGAAGGATTCGAAAGTCAACATCTCAATACGCATCACCTTCAATGATCATCCCAAAGAAGGATCCTAACGCACCACCAAGGTGGGTATGTGACTACAGGACTTTGAACAAGTACACGGTAAAAGATAGAAGTCCATTACCAAATGTTGATGAGGCAGTCAGACTTGTGAGCAGCGGGAAGATATTTTCAATAATAGATCAGATTAACTCATTCTTTCAAACACGAATGCGTGAAGAGGACATACCACTGACAGCAGTGAAGACCCCATTTGGATTATTGGAATGGACGGTGATGGCGATGGGCCTTACAAATGGTCCAGCAACACATCAGAGTCGTGTAGAAGAGGCCCTCGGCAACATTATTGGCACATATTGTGTTGTTTACATTGACGACGTAGTGGTTTTCTCCAACTCAGTGGAAGAACATGAATTACACGTTAGAGAAGTCTTACGACGACTGAAGGCAGCAAACCTATACTGTTCACCAACAAAAAGCAAACTGTTTCGGACAACAATCAATTTCTTAGGACACGAAATCAGCGGAGAAGGGGTTTGTCCTGATGATGCAAAAGTTGAAAAGCTAGCAAAATGGAAGACACCGTCATCGCAGAAGCAACTACTCAAGTTTTTAGGCACTGTACAATTTCTGAAAAAATTCATTGATGGATTGTCACATTATGTTGGTACACTTTCACCTCTGACAAGTACAAAACGGAAAAATGAGCCATTTAACTGGGGCAAAAAGGAAAATGAAGCGTTTGAGAACATTAAGCGGATAATTACTACACTTCCAGTTCTTAAGCAAATGGATTATGAGTCTGATGAACCAATCTGGTTGTTCACCGATGCTAGCGGTCACGGCCTAGGAGCAGCACTATTCCAAGGAGCGAAATGGGACACTTCTTCACCGATAGCATACAAAAGTAGAACAATGACACCCGCTGAACGCAACTATCCAGTTCATGAACAAGAATTGTTAGCGGTCATCAATGCGTTGCAGAAGTGGAAACTGTTACTCTTAGGAATGAAGATCAATGTCATGTCAGATCACCACTCACTCACACACCTTTTATCACAACGTAACATTAGTCGAAGACAAGCTAGATGGTTAGAGACACTTTCTCAGTTTGATATTAACTTCAATTACATTAAGGGCGAAGAGAACTCCGTGGCAGATGCACTATCTCGAAGAGACAAAGTGGCTGCGTTACAGATGGACGCAACACTCGACGAAACTACTTTAAACACCATCAAGGCTGGCTATGGAACGGACCCCTTTTGTATGCGAGTTAACAAGACCTTACCGCAGCGGGAAGGCACAGAATGGCGCAAAGAGCTAATGTTCATTGACGGTAGACTTGTCATTCCGGATGTCAGAGGTTTGCGCAAACAACTCATTCAACAAACTCACTTAGCGTTAGGACATTTAGGAACCCTCAAGACACTGGCACAATTACGCGCTCAATTCTTTTGGCCTGATATGACAAACGATGTGAAGTCATTAATATCAACATGTGACAGTTGTCAACGATCAAAAGCACGTACCTCGCTACCGTCGGGAAAACTTCAAGCCACAGATGTGCCAAAACTCCCAATGGACGACATGTGCCTGGATTTCATCGGACCTTTCCCCAAAGTCAGAGGATACGACATGATTCTCTCCTGCACTTGTCGACTAACGGGCTTTGTACGGGCCATTCCAACTCGTCAAACGGACACCGCAGAAAAAACGGCTCAACGCTTATTCAGTGCATGGTTAGCAATTTTCGGTGCTCCAAAGAGCATGATAGGTGACAGAGACAAAACCTGGACATCACGTTTTTGGCAAGAATTACACCGTTTACTACAGATCAAAGTTAACCTCACTACAGCATACCACCCACAGGCAGACGGCCGTAGCGAAAAATCAAACAAGACAATAGTGCAGATCTTGAGGCAAATGGTGGAGAGTTGACACGGCCGCTGGTTCTCGTCATTACCGGCAGTGGAATTTGCTATGAACAGTGCATTGAACATCGCCACAGGGGTCTCACCGTTTGAGTTTGTCTTTGGTAGGAAACCTCCACTATTCCCAGTCACCGGAAGCTTACAGTCAACTGGCCCGGAGGTATCTAAGTGGATAGAAGACCGACAATCAATGTGGGCCCAATACCGGGACAAACTATGGTCCAGCCGAATCAGTCAGGCAGTACATTATAATAGCCGGCATGGGAGTGGTGCAGTGTTAGAATTAGGAGACTGGGTACTGGTGGACAGCAAAGACCGACAACAGGTGGTAGGCGGCAATGGAAGACCAACCTCAAAGTTACGACCCCGCTTCGACGGACCTTACGAGATCAAAGAAATCTTAAACGGGGGCCGCAATTTCAGGTTGAAGCTTGACAATAACGACAAATCTCATGACGTTTTCCACATATCAAAGCTGAAAAAGTACCAATGGAGGGAGGAGGAGTGCGATGCAAAGGTGTCAAAGTAAGTTCCTCCCATAAGTATGGCCTGCCGGGCAACTACGCCAAATAAATTGTGTATAAAACATTACCTTGGCCACACATGTGAGCACCGATTGGGCGTCTGGCTTGTTTTGTTTTTACCACAGACACCACTGGCGAAAACAATCATCTTCAAATACTTCAAGATCTCACAGCAAGTCACATCAAGATGCAAGCAGTTTTATTTATTCAATTATTTCTTCTATTCATTTCTTTTTTTTGGGGGTTACATAATCTTTTGGATAAATCTTCAAGGGTAAATCAAGGTGGATATTATTCAGGTTTCTTCCGTGTTTTCTATTTTTTTCTTCTTTTCTTTTCTTTTCAAATTTCTCTACAATTTTTTCAATTCCAAATTTCAAGATGTCTTGTGAATTTTAGGGGCGAGTTATGCCAATTTTTCTTTTCTTTTTTCTTTTGAATCAGGTTATGGTGTTTGAAAACTCTTTTTCTTAGGAGGGGAGGGATGTAAGGTATTACATATAGGATCATGGCTTAGGTGTATGGGTTTAGATAGGTAGTTGGATTACTTGTACTCGAAGATGCCCTAGCTCCATGAAGACTCTTCTTCACCAAATACTCTTCGGATGGAGCTAGGTGAGCTTTCATCTCTTATTTCGATTTCTCTTATTTCTTTCTCTTAGAGCGTGTCTGATGTATGTTTGTGTGTTGACCGAATACTCTTCGGATGGAGCTAGCTAGTTGTCTTATCTAGGAATAAAGTTGGGTTATAGATTACATCTGGAGCTCAGCTCCCGTCGCGCCTCTCTTAGTGAAGACTTGACTCTCTTGAGTCTTACAATTTTCTCATTGAATATCACATATACTTTTATTTTATCACGCCTTATTTTTGTCAATCCAGCACATACTTGACTACATACATATCCATCACCACGTATCCATACGCCCTTTTGGAAAATGACAGAACAGGAAACAAACACAATTATTGATTTACGAAAAAGGACAAGCTGCTTCTGAACAAACGGTATGTAAGGTTTGTGTCATTTGGAATCATTGCTTGGGTTTAACCACCGAATGACCCACTTGCTTGAGTCAAACAGCCCCATCTGAAACACTGTTGTCCAAACTTACATCATGACCACCTTGCATTTGTTGCATACTAAGCAACCCCATGGCTGTACCCCGTGGTCTGTGTAATTCTGGATTGACAGGAAGCAAACCCAGTGCTTCACATAATGGTGAACATACATGAGAATTGGCAAAATGCCATACACCCTTCTCGCTTGTGTTTTCTGCTGACCACCACATCTTTGGACTGTTCAGAAGAGATAGGGGAGAAAGTGAAAAAATTCATCTCAGCTCATCCAACCAATGTAAGTCTAAGTCAATATATGATGACATACTTGCTGTCCACCATCTGGAAGCCTGAGAGCAGATTTCCGTCGGCAGAGATTTCACTCAATAAAGCTTCACCTTTGTACAAATGAAAAGTCCAGTGAGACCAAGCATGCAAGGCCTGAAACAGCGGATCATTCTCTGTGTAGGTGAGTTTTGATGTTGGGCTAACATATTTCTTGGGTGACTTGTTGTCCGCTGTCTCAATCATCCATAAATCATTAGGCAAAGGTGATGACCACAAATTCTTAGAAACTATGAGGAGTTGAACAACCTAGAAGCAGAACACAATAAGTGACCCCATATGAAATGTAGTGTTAGTCATTTTCAAAACTGACCTCTAACTCTTTTAAAAGCTGAGCTAAAGGCGGAGGCACCTCAGCCTTTCCGGCTACAAAACTTTGGAAGTCGGAGAGAAGTTTGGCAGCCTGGACAATCATCTGGAACTCTTCCATATAGTTCAAAAGCTTGGTCCCTTTCAAGTGTCGTCTCGCCACAATATTGATTATAGAACCTTCAAATAAGATTTGTCCACCATGCCGGTCTTCCAGCCCACTTGAAGGGAATAGGTTACCTTTGTCAACATGGAAGATTGCTCGCCATGGTTTGATTGATATTCCCACTGCTTTCAAACTCTTGAACGTCGGGTCACAGTGAGCAGGACACTCAAGGCTTAGGTCCGGATCTTGTGTCACGGGTTGCAAATGTAACGCAAGCAAGACCACGTTCTTCCCAAGCAGGGCTTGTGTGGAGTTTGCCCAGGTAGTTGAGATTGGAATAGCAATCTCCCCCAAGAAACGTAGGTCGGGGGTACCGTTATCAGCAGATTGTAGGTCTACAGTAAAGCAAGAAACATCAAAATTCATATTAATTTGATTTTTTAATGTTTCAGACAAATCAAAACATACCAGACCCAAAGATGCGTGAAATAAATGACATATCTTGCACAACAGGCCGGTTGACAATCATGCCTTCTAATTCTCCAGTCACAGGGGCATCAGTAATGGAACCCCAGAATGGTAGGGTGTCATTTGATGGGTCGAACCACCAGGATGGAATCTTAGATCCCTGGGATGTGACACTTAGATTGCTGGTGGCCTTTGATCGGAGCTGATATGGTGTATCAGTTTCTTGAAGGGATAGTCGAAGAGCATCTTGTACCCGCTCAAATTCATTGTCGTCCTCATAGACACCTGAATAGAATAGAATGTAATAGATGTCATCTTAATTACGTAAAGATTCATCAAGACGTCAAACTTACTTGAACTTTCACTCATTGCTGCCGTTGATTTACCAAAGTCTTCTGGCTGGTCTTCAAGGTATCCGTGCAACGAGAGACCCAAAGAGAATGCAGTCAACCAATTGAAATCGGCTTATGTGACCATTTTTAAATACAACGCCGGAGTGAATATTAGACTAATGAGACATTTTGGAGCAGGACCCCGTTGAGCCTTGTGGTTGGCCAATTGACTGAAATGGGCTTGAATTTGTTCATATGACATGTGATCTCTTCCAATACCAAATGAAACGTATGTGTTGGAAAATTCAGTTGGTATAGGAAAGATGTGATGCTGGCGACCCAGTTCTGCTGAGGGGAAATCTATACCAACGCAATATTGTGTAACGTCTGCCCAGGCAGCTCTAGCAAAAGGGCCTGGCCACCTTTTGTCCGAAACAGTGATCAAGTTTGAGTATGTTCTGACTCCATTGTCTTGTGGACATTTGATTGGGACAGTAGAAATGACAAGTTGAGCGGTGACATTCAGTGTATGAGTAGCCAGACCGGAGAAGCCGCCTGGTGTTGCTTTGGCGCCACCCCCTCTATGGAGACTGCTGGAACCGACTTTATTGGATTCTGCACTGTCCAAACGTCGTTGGCGTCCCCAGATGTTTGACTGTTGTTCACTCACGAGGTCAGGGTGTTGTACATCAGGAGGACCCAGATTTGACAGACGGAATTGAGTTAAATTATTCATGCGAGGCGGTTCAATGTAGGTTTCGGATGCCCGAGGACTTTTAGCACTAAGGTTTGATCCTAACTGGGAGGATGGATCCACATTACATCGGGGAAATCTTTGCGGAGCTGGCGAGTTTCCAAGGTCTTTGGCTAAGCATGGGCAACAGACAGGCGGTGAACCAGTGAGCTGTGGATATCCGATTGAACATGAGTCACAGTGAACAAGCTTGACCCCTGGAGTGTCACGCGCTGCAATACAGTAACCACAGAATGTGGTGCAGAGGCCTGGTATCAACCGGCTGCAAGAAGAGCAATCAAGCTTTCCGGGTGGGGGTGGGTCCCAGGCGTTGGCAATGTGAGGTGACAAGGTGTTCATGGTTTGAAGTGAGATGCACAATTTTCTAGAATCACTTTTGAAAAGCTCATTGTCTACAATTTATCATCAGGGCAAAATGTGGTCAAATTTTTTGTAAGCATCCTGGCTTGAAAGATGCATTCCATAAGGGGAAGAATGGTTTTAAGGGGTAGTTTGGTCAGCAGCTCAAACATGATTTTGGAATGCTTGATCACACTGCCTAGTGGACCTTTTCGGAAAGACAGAACAGTGCGGTTGTGAATTGGATACTTTGGTAGCAATACAAATGAAACACTGGGGATTTGTTTGTAGACATCTCAGATAACAGGATTCCGACACATCCAAATATGAAATTACATGATCTTGATATGTGATGTTATGATCACAAACCTAATGACCAGGATGAACATTGGATCACATTCAAAAATTCATTGATTTTGATATGTTCCCTTTTGATGAGCAAATCAAACCATATCACCACAGCCCACAAAGCGGAAAAGTGCCAGGCTGAAAGCGTGCATGCAGCCTTTGGTGTACCTTTCTACGCAAGGGTCCCGTATCATCAGTGAACTGAAAATTACAATGCGCTCATTGATCAAAATACATAAAACCGGGATAGTCCATTAAGAGTGCAGCTGGGGTTTAAAAATTTGAATTGAATCTGGTCAAGGCGTAGACCTCAGTGAACTGAAAATTACGATGAGCTCATGTATCAAAACAAAGAAAACTGGAATAGTCAATTGAGAGAGGAGTCAAGGTTTTACGCATTGAATCTGCTCAAGGCGTAGATAATGCCTTGGCTACTCATAATGATATGAGAGCAAAAACATGAGGGGCCGAAAAAGGCTGGACATGTGACAAAAAATTGATGGCAAGCAGGAAAAGTATTATATAAGTGTCCAAGTCCATGGGCAAACATCGATATTATATTCTATTCACACAGACCATTTTTACTCCATCATCAAATACCAACCTTTCTATTTTCAGCCCCTTGTCCAGAACCTTTTTTTTGAGATCTTATTGTACTTGTCTTCAACAGCTTTTCTTTTGATTATCCCATCCACATACTGGCTCCTTGATGGCGGCCTTTGAAGACGAATCAAATACAAGTGAGTATTTAATTGTGCTTGTTTTTTTTTGAATTAATTGACATTTTAACGACTCATGAATGAATTTGTTTTGACTTGTCTTCAGCCCAGACAAATCCGATATGGGAACTTCCGTTCTTGCACTTTGATGAACAAGGAAACCAAGTGGAAGTTATCAAGGATAAAACTCTTGAAGACTGTGTGGGATACAGTGAGTTCACACCTCATTTTTGAAAGATAAGCCACCTCAACTGATGTTCTGCGGTGATTTCTTGTGTGGTTGGGACCCGGTGGTTGTGGAAGATCATCCAGAACCACCTTTGTCCATAGGCTGGACTGATTGTGAAGTCAACCCACCCATGGACATTGTGGCACAGAGACCCGACAACAGATTTGCTTTGATGATTCTCCTGCTCAACGATGACTACAATGGTGTGGATCCAACTTACGAGTTCTACCATACAAGAGTGGATTTCAGAGTCAATGAACATGAGCTCATCCATAGATACGATTTCCGCGCAAGATACTCAGCCCAACTTATTTTTGATGAAAACACAGTCTTGGAAGTAGTTGCTCAAAAGACTTTCACCGGCAAAGGTATCACCGTGAATCTTCCCCATTATTGCCGAACAGCTCAGGTTTTGCTTCTGGCCACTTGGCTGGTAGCCAAATTCAAGGAAGAAATGCAATACATGAATTTGACCAGTCCTCAACGCAAATTGCTGCAGTGTTTACGAGTTCATCCTGCTAACTACCACGAAAATAATGTGTGTCCATCAAACTCACAGTGCTTACTCTCCGTAGGTTCTGTCACACTGTGTAATGTATGAAAAAAATCCAAATGAACATTCTATCCTTGCACGTGATATTTTTATGATTGAAGAGTGTTTGGATGTACCAGCATCGACCATCAAGAGCATCATCTTGATTTTAAGGCTATAAAGAATGACACTATTACACTATGCCAGATTGCAAATTTACCGCTGAGTTTAGAAAATTAGGCAAACATAGAAAATTATACACACAGCAGAAGGGGTCAGAAACATATGAAAAAATAAGGGTTGCAAAGCCCTGCATGTGCCTATCATTTTGCATATTTTTTCATGTTTTTATGGCAGCAGTGTATATCAGGTCAGAAACCCAGCTTTTGTCCAAAACTGGCACTTATTTAGTCACTACTCTTGTGGAATTTTGGTTCACCATATGTAATTTCTTTGCATTCTGAATGCTGAATGTTTGATTTACAATGTATACATTGGAATGGGCCGTATGCATCCAAAAATGACTAAGGTACAGCAATTACAGTCCCCATCAACAAAGCAAGAGAAGCTTATAAATCGTTGCCGCAATGGTTTTAGCACCTAAATGAAAATTGTAGATCCTAATTTGTTAACACATGTAGTTTGACCTTTAGTCCATTATCAACGTCTGAAACAATTAATAAGAGATAATCAGGTGTATCTCAACACATGGCTGTGGGTCAAGAATCTGCATATGGCTCTTGATTGAGACTTGATTTACCTGAGATTACAGATCAGTCAATTATTAGTTTGCTTATTGCAACCTGATGGCTAAGGACTGAACATTCATAATCTATGTCATTTGGCTTCAATTTGATTGAAATTGACATTGAATCTGAAGTCAAATTTGATACAGTCAGCCCATGCAAATGCATACTCACGCAGATGTGTAATACACCAACGTGCATAAGGCCTGGTATGGGCTAAATTTCCAATCATTGCATAATTGAATAATACAAATACAGATGTGGTGGCTGTGCTGTATAGAGCCATGAGCTGGCCCCGGGCTTCAAGGGATCTGAAAGCCAAAATCTTGATTGGGGCAGTTGTATGTTACACCCATTATATCATTGCAGTTGTAATTTACATCAATTCTATCATTCCTCAACTTGATCCAGCGTGGCCATTACCTGTTCATAATGCATCACTTTGTGCTCCATGACTATACTTTTTTCAAGTGAGTTCATTGGACATAATGCATAATTGTATACATCATGGTCATAACACATGAGTTTATGCATTATAACAAAACCCCTCAAAATGAATAGTTGGTCAAAATGCATAGAAAAAACCATCTTCCCAATTCATGCATTGGCACGGGTTCAACTGTAGAAGTGGAACCATAAATCAAGGTATTCTTGTTTTATCATACTTCACAACAGGATGAATCATCAAAAGACCAAAGTGTTTGTTGAAACCTATAACAAATATCTTCAATGAAGTTATGTCCAAGGCTTCATCTGGAATCACTGTAAGATGTTTAGTTATATTGCTTTGATATAATGTGTTTGGGCTTGAAGATTCAGAACCAAAATGGAGAAACAAAATACAACTGCACCATATAAAACAAACTGGCATGTCTAGTCAGGATCAATATATGCTAAGAGTTTTGAAGATAGGTTGGAGCTAACTTCTTTTTGAGGTGATGAGTTCTGGGAGCTCTGCTACTCAATTATTCAATTGAACTAAACAAATAATTTGACTCTTTGAAGGTGTAAGATCGTATCATAGATGAAGACAATTATTAGATAGGGACTGGGTTTTCCAAATCAAAATGTGGTTGATCTGACACATTATAAAGAACATCTGATGGATTTGTGTTTGAGTTTCATCAGCATTTGCTTGAATCCTCTTTGTTTACTGTTGTTCTTGAGACACACATAATTTTTTAATTCGATTATTTGAAACTTTCTGTGCCCGAGACCACTCCACTAAACTTTAAGATAACCAAAGAGGTCAACTTGATTCATATATCAAGTTGAACTCTGATTTCAAAAATAGGAAAGGTTCCAACTAAATAATGGAATCAAAACCAATGTGGATTAGCCTTGGTCCACTTTTCTTTAAAATGGTTGTTGTTGTGAATTTTTAGTGATGATGTGCATAGGTAGATTGAGTTTGTCCCATTGTAGTTTTTTCTGATCAATTGACAATCAACTTAAAAATGTAAAAACAATCTAGTCTAGCTTCAAACTACTATAATTCTGAACCAATTTCCAGCCCTCATACTGCAACATTGATTGCAGATGAGTGACGAGGCACGAGGCATTGATCCCATCCATTCCGAGTTGTGAAAGCTCCTAAGGTATGGGCTCAGCTAGTCTTACAAAAGACAGATTCGGCCCTAGAGTGAGTACAAAACCATACCAGGTCCCCAGCAGACCTGCTCTGGATTATAACATAATCCAGGCCGCAGAAGTATCTCCCAGAGAAGAGTCTTGCTCTATCGCAAAGTTCATCGAACTCTGAATCACCTTGACTACTTCCGCTACTCTCATCCTCACGCTCCTAGTCATACCTCTAGGATTATTTTCCCTTGACGTGTGAGAAGGTAGCCCCTTTTTCAAACTCTTAATAAATCTTGTGATCTAGCCGTAGGAACCAAGGCTTGCAAGCTGAGATCACTCCTGAACCGACACCACCAAGTTTGGATGAAGAAGAACAACAACAATTTGAAATTGAGACCAAAGAAGAGGAACAAGCAAGAAGAGATAGAGAAGATAGGGAACAAGCATTAGAAGAGATGAGATTGAAGAAACAACAAAGAAAGAAACATACAGAATTCATGCAAGAAAATCAATAAATTAATCAAGAGAATGACATGAGCAACATCATCTTGAATGACTTCAAAGAAATGAGTCATTCTGATAAATCATTGTCATCAATAGAAGAAGTACCTAGACAAGAACAAAGTAAGCATTCAAGATTCATCTTTGTTATCATTATCATACGACCCTTTGAAACTTGTGATACAATCCAAGCCATGCAAGCAAAGAGTTCAACTATGTTGATAGGACGTGATATAATCCGTCGGAAATGTGATATATTCCATTCTTATAAACGTGATCTATTCCGTTTGATCAAGTTGTTTATAAATGTGATATAATCCGTTGTTAGAATTCACATAGAAGATGTTTGAAACTTCATTCAAGTTATTGTATCCTCCAAAAATTTGAATCTATCCGAGTTATGCCTCAGTCTTCTGGAAGATGTGAAGCTGAATCTGATCTGAAAAAAATGTTATAATAGAAATTTCTGTAGAAGTTGCAAAAATGGCACTTGCTATGGGAAATACAAACATAGTTGAAAGGTTTTTGAAACCTATAGAATCTCCAATTGAAGTAGGATCAAAACTCGATGTGAACCCTCTAAAAGGTTATAAAGAAGGACAAGTATCAGATTCCAGTTTAAGATCTTTTACCATTTATTGGCACGAACACCTCAAATAGATGGACATAAATTTTCCACTTACAATATTTAATGATTGGTGGATTGAAATGGATCAGAATGTGGCGGTGTAGAACTCCTACGCTGTGGAGCGTAGGCAGAGCCTCGAGGGGAAGAAACAACCCAAGGGGAATAAACCGCCAAGAGCCGTAACCAAAGCGCCGTTAAGCTGCCCTCAAATTTTTCAATGAGACACTTCTTCAAACCCTACTACCACCCAAATAAGCTTTCCAACCTTGAATATCCAATCTACAAGCTTTTGTTCCGCTTTAAGAATTCCCGTAAAGGTCCTACAGTTCAAAAACAGATGTAAACAAGCTGTTTTTTACTATGTTCCCCAATGCAGGTCTCCAAAAAGCTTCCTGCAGCAAGTAAAAATAATAATAATAATACTTTGAAAATCCTCCAAAACCTTGTTCTTCAACTTCTACTAATCCCAAAACTACCCTACACACCCTATCCAACTTTAAACCCAGCAATTTGCACCTGTAGCAGTGCAAAAGGTACCCTAATACCCTAGGACAAAACCCCTAGGTGGCTAAGTGAGATAAGTAAAAAAATAAAAGGATCCCACTATTTAGAGCCCTCGGAGCAGTATCCGGCGCCCCCTCTCGGGTCGGACACCAGGCTACAAACAATTTAGCTGCCCCTTTTTTCAAACAGGGCTCCTTGTTTGAAAAAATCGGGCTTCCTCCTCAAATAAAATTGCCCCCTACTCATCCTCCAATGTCCATTGACCTCGCCGTTTTGTTTTGTACACGCTACGTATATGTACAGTCCAAGTATAAGGATAGAAGCTAAGAAACTATGTCGAGGGGAGAGCAGAGTTTCTCAGTTCACTATAGCGTCCGATGAGCCACTATTGCACTTGAGTACACAAGACCATGGCATATATGTATCCTAAACTCAAGGAAGGTATACATAGATTTAGGGGGTTCATACAACATAAGGAAGAATTGAGGGAGAGACACAACATCAGATATAGGAATCAGAACTAGAAAGCTAAAAGAGCTAGAAAGTCGAAACGAACGAGTAGGACAGGAGAGCTACAAAAACAAACACGAAAGGCAACACAAGTATAGAGTAGAGTGTACAACATAAGAGACAGACTAGTGACTGTGAGGCCACAAATTCAATTGTGCTCGATACTTGCACTTGACATCGTCTCCCATTCCTATCTAACCTACTCTTTGTGCCCCGTTGCTTGTTAGCTCTTCGTCTATGATCTCGCTCATTGCACCTTGAAGGTTTAGAAATGCGTAAAAAACAGCAAATCAGTTTTAAAGCCTCTCAATTCAAGTGGAATGAAATGCGGATGATTTGAGCAGTTTTTTTGTACAGAGCAAGACCCAGTCTCACAAGCAATAAAGGGGCTGATAGCGCTACCATATGAGCATGACGAAAGGCAATTGATGAGTGATGTTCATTGAATAGTCCTTCATGGTATACTACATACGCACAGGAAGTAAAGATGAAGATATCTGTCAGCTTCAGCGATACATGGGAGGATATGGGAGGTGAGGGTTAGATCCCGAAGAGCAGCCACTGGAAGGTGGTCCAATGTCACATTGTATTTCAGTACT